CCCCAAAACCCCAAAACCCCAAAACCCCAAAACCCCTGTTTTAAGAGAGATTATTGAATTTTAATTATGTTTTATTTCTCATTGCCATCATTCTCATCTCTGCTGCCATTCCTCTTAATATTTTGCTAGACATCATGGTTACTTGCTTAGCTTTTGAAATAAGGTCTTCACCATCAATATTGCCTTCTCCTAAGATCTCTCCAATTTTTTCTTCTGAAGTCTTTAAACTTTGGAAAGCATTCTTCATTTCCTCTAATGACTCGTACTTTGCAAACTTGTTTTCTTCAACTAGTTTCTCAAGAGTTTCTAAATACTTTTGTATTCCATTCACAGATTCTTCTTTTTGATATTGTTGCATTGAGAGAATCATTGTCCTCTGCATATCGTCTGCTTTTTCAATCATGCAAGCTGGAGCAGAGAACTTGTACTCTCCTTGATATAATGACATGCAATTATCTGCAGATATCATTTCTAGGTCTACATATCCAGGTAATCTTTCAAAGTATCTCATCTTTCAGTGAGATATTGGTTCATTATCAACAGATTGAATATTCATATGCTCAAGATCTTTCTTGTCAGAAGCTCATGTCATTGAAATTGGAATCTTATTCAATTTAACTATCATTGTTTGATCTTCGAATTCTTTATTCTTAAGCTGATATAATGATCCATCATGAGAGAGCTTAGTTTCATTAAAAGGAATCTCATCAATATTTTCTCCAAAGTTATAAAGTACAGTAAGAATCTTATGGTTTTGTATCAAGATTTTATATCTCAGTACTTGCCCTGTAGAATCTGTGCCGAATTCCATGTGGTCAGATATCGATTCTCCTTCATCAATATATTCTGTGGCAATTGGAACTGAATCACTCATATCATTTATATGGCAATGAATAATATTGAAGACTTTGTCATTGACTTCATTCGTCCAAACTTCAAATACTGAATTAGAGATGAACCCAGCATTAGGGTCAATTTTATTCTCTATAAACTGAACATTTCCATAATTGTTATTGCTTATAGAGGTAATACAGCACTGTTGTTTATCAAAGTTGATCCGGTAGTCGTTTAATGAAATGAAAGAAGGATCGACTGACATAGGTAAACACTCATTCTCTCCCATACTTGTATCTACTTGGTAAAATATCTTGAACTTGTGGTAATCTTTATGCATTTCCATTCTTACGCTTGCTTCTTGCTGTAAAGTAAGAAAATTGACGTGAGACATCAGATCTTCTTGTCTAAAAGTAACGTAGCTTCCATAATTAGAATTATCCAATAAGAGTCTGTTTTGATCATAAATTCTTTTTGCTCGGATAGTGTTATCTGAGCTGTTATATTCGTCAATTTCAAAAATAGTAGGCCCATCCAGAGTGGTATGGATTATTCTTCCTTTCAATGCTTTTTTTAAAGATAGTCCTATTTTTCAAAAATCGCTATCAAGCTCTTTATACTGGGATCTAAATATCACTCTATCTTTTTCTTCTCCACTCTCCAAAATTTTAGTTTCTAGGAATTGCTTCTTTTGGGTAATATCAGCGCATTGACTAATTTTAGAGTGCACAAATTCTTTTAAATTAGTGTTCTCTGTTTTGTCTTCTTCGTTTATGCTTTCTGAACTAAATCTCTTAGCTATTTCTTCTGGAACAAAAGAGGGATAGTCGAGTAATTGAGGGGAGTCTATATCTTGACACATAAACGCTTCTATCTTTCCCTCATTCTGATCTTCTAATGCAATCAGTGGTACCATTATGTAATTTGTTTTACTCCCATCAAATTTGACTGACGATTTCTTATTTTCATCAATATGCTCGTTGCCGTTGACTAAGAATTGGTATCTATGCTTATATCCTCTCCTTAGAGATGCTGTATATTTATATCGGTATGGAGTTTGATCATCTTCTTCCATTGCATGAGGAATCCATTCTGTGAAATTCCCGATGATATCGATTGCTATGTTTTCCTCATTTTTATACTCTTCAGGGATATCATACTCAATAGTGACATTCATAGATTTTTCATTATCTTCTTCTTGAGGCTTCTGTATTGCTTTAAACTCTTGATATTTGTGTGACTTGGGTTTGGCTCCAAACTTTTTAATCTTAAATTCAAGATCTATTATTTTGACAAAAATCTCTTTCTTCTCAGACTTTAAAATTTCATTCTGAATTCTCAAGTCTTCCAACTCCTATTTAGATTAGTTTAAGAAGATACCTTATTGTAAATCTCGTTGGTCATGTTATTTGCCTCTATTTCTGAGAACAGTTCTTCGATGGATGCCATTTTATTTGATAAATATAAATTAACCAATTATATATTTGCCAAGAGGGGTTTTGGGGTTTTGGGGTTTTGGGGG